CCGGCAGGGGCTAGTTTCCTTCCCTGGTAGACCTAATCCTCATTAAAAAGCAATGACATGCTGCATAGAGCTGGGGATGGCAGAGATAATCCTATTAGCGCCGCGGACATCTCCGGGCCCCGCTCCCTCCCGGCGCTGGGAGCCGGCGGCTCCGGCTGAGCCCCCCATTGTCACGGCTTTGAAAACGTCCCTATAGCCCTAATCCCTCACGTGACGGCCGTGTCACCCCGGCTGTCTGCACGCGAGCTCCACAATGCGGCGCCGGGGGGGCGGCGGGCCCGGCTCCCCCGCCCGGCCCCGCTTCGGGGCGCCGCTTGTTCTCAGGCCCGCGGAGCTGCTGGTGGGGGACAAGGAGCCCTCCCCGGGCTCTTGCGATGGTAACAAGGCCGCTTTGTCCCAGCCCCTGGGCGCGGGGTGAAAGTTTCTGCCCCCACCGCACAGCGCGGATGAGCTCTTTGAAATCCCACTGCCAGCATCTGGCTGCAGCAGCCCGCCGGGCTGGAGGACGCTGGGCTCGCGTGCCATCACATCCCCCGGCCCGAGCCCCGAGCCCTGCTCCCCACCGCTGGCAGCGCTCATCGGGAGCCAGCCTGCTCCAACCCGGCTGGGGCAAGGGGGCTGACTGCGCTCAGGGCTCTGGGACAGTCTCCCTTGACAGTATTTTGCCCCATCAGCCCAGGCGAATCTGAGCTTCTTGCAGGGAGGGCTCTGTGAAAATCTCTCTTGGTGTCATGTGTCATTCATGAGTAACACCTTTTTGCTGGGTATGGATTCGCTTTGAACAAAGGAACCGGGAACAAGGACCCAACTTCAGCTTCCTGGCTGGAGTGGGCTCCTCCGTCTCTGTTCCTAACGCTCGGGTCCTGGTTGCTTTTTCGAGGCTCCTCAACACGCAAAGTGACGTGCTGAAGAGCTAGAACCACGTCAAAAACGTGTGTTCACCCCTAGAAGCTTTCAACCGTGTCCCCCGCGGGGACCAGAGCCCTGAATAAAGAACTGAGATTATGGGGCAAAGCGGCTACAGCAGGGTTTGACACCCCCCCCCGCGGCAAGGCCGGATCCCGGTGATCGGAGGACGTGAGGCTAAAGGACCATCTCCCTGGTCCCCGGGGAACCCTAGTGACTTCAAAGGGACCCATGAGCGCACCTGGTTGGGACTGTCACATCCCTTCAAGACATTGTGCCCCCACACACACACAAACCTCTTGGGGTAGAAGCGATATCTTTCATTGGAGCAAAACATGTTTTGCAACTATTTAGTTGATCTAATAAAAGATATTGCCTCTAACGCAGGAAGTTTGTCTGCCTGTGCCTCTAGACCAACACGGCTTCAAGAAATATCCCCCCCCCCGACACGCCCTTTCCTCACACACGCGCACACAGCCCTCCAGTGATGTGATGTGATGCGGGGGCGTCTGCCGGCTGTGGAGGTCATGCGGGGCGCGAGGACGCCGAAGAGGGGGCAGCAATCCGGCAACCGCAGGGGGGAGCCGACCTGGGCGCCGGGAGAAGGGGCTGGCTGCCTCCACGGAGCCCGATCTAACTTCCCGGGCAATCCCCGGAGAAGCAAGGATCCCGGTAGGGGCGGGTTAACCTGCCGGGAGGCAGAACCTTGCCAGGTGCACAAGCCCAGATCGCAGCCCTGTAATTGACAGCCCCTGGTCAGTTCCCCCCCACCACGCGCTGCCCGGCTCTCAGGGCGATCGCGGGGCCCTAGCGCCGAGCCGCTGGCGGCCACAGCTGGAGCTCACCGCCAGATGTTTCCTCCCAGGTACCCGGAGCTAGAGGCTGGTGTAGGTACCCGGGCTCAGTGGCTGGCTGGAGGGGTCCCTCCCGGGAGGCAGGGCTCAGTCCCGAGGGACGAAGAGAAAAGATTG